AGTAGTACGACGACGAACTAACTTTACTTACGTACCGTAACCTAACTAACAACTAGTTACTTACTACTAGTCTATACTACTAATAATAGACACTACAAAACAACCCTACCTCTCTCTCTCTCTCTCTCTCTCTCTCTCTCTCATGCCCAAACATAGGTACTGAAGCTTTTAATCAGAAGTAGATAAACAACATATTCTTTAGTTTTCAATATAAATTAAGAAAACAACAACAATCATTACCTCTTTTTTATCTCTGCAGCCATGGTTAAGAAGGCCTGCTCAACATTGATCGAGTCCTTAGCACTTGTCTCAAGAAAAGGGATGCCCAACTCATCAGCGAATGCCTAAGATTCAAATAGAACGGGGAAAGGGAGCTATGGATTCATGATTAAGTGATTAATATAACCTAACTTGGCAATTTATGAGAAAATCGAGCATTCATAATGTATGAGTAATAAGCACAAAGAAGACACATGAGTATTCCCTTCAATTAGACAATTCCGATCTCTCTATTTCTTTCTGAAATATGTGGTTTCTCCCCCAAGTTGAAGAATAATCATGAATGATCACAATGGACATCTATTAACTAGAACATATCGAGGAATATTTGCACCCACTAAAAATATATATGAAGGAACATTACCTTCGCCTTCTCGGTGTCCACGACTTTATTCTCAACCAGATCACATTTATTCCCAACAAGAAGCTTGCTAACATTGTCACTTGCATATCTATCAATTTCATTCAACCATTGCTTGACATTGTTGAAGCTCTCCATCTCAGTGACATCATAAACAATCTATAGCAACAGGAACATTAGTACTAGCTCTTAAAGCTGGCCATGCAATTCCACAAAACCCAAGAACAAAACAAAAGAACACGCAAGTGTGAAATATTTATCTAACTCCATTGATTTTATTATAAGGTTTTGTTTAAAAAATATCAAATAAGAAATGTTTGATTTTATTTTTATTTATTATTGATTTATTTATTTGATTTTATTTATTTATTAATTTATCTATTTAATTTATTGAGAAAATTACATACATATCCATTATATTTTGCATTATTACAAATGTACCAAAAAGTTTTCGTTATTACATGTCTGTCTGTTTTTTACCTTTCATAACGTAAGTTTTTAAAAAGACGGTTTTACCCATTTTCGGCTGTTCAACATCCGAATTGAAGGGTTTTTCAGATGTTCAACATCCAAAAATAGGCCGAAAGTTTAACATTCACATGCTGTAGGCACATTTTCGGATGTTCAACATCTGAAAATGTGCTATTTTTTTTGTTCAACATCAGAAAATATAACTATGAACGTTAAACTTTCGGCTATTTTCGGATGTTGAACATCTGCAAAACCCTTCAATTCGGATGTAGAACACCCAAAAAAGGGTAAAGTCGTCTTTTTAAAAAAATTGCGTTATGAAAGGTAAAAAATGGACAGACATGTAATGACGGAAACTATTCGGTACATCCGTAATAACACAAAATATAACGGTTATCTGTGTAATTTTTCCTAATTTATATATTTATTCCTGGTTAACTCCACATTTTATAAAGTATGAGACAAAATGCAGTTTGCCTTTCCTTGAAAGATTCTATGATAGGAGACTCCAAACCCAAAGATACTTGTTTTCGCATGACTATTACATAAGGGATTATCTATAAAGAGACCATTTACCTTGTGTATAAGGAGGTCACAATCATTCTTGTCCCTTGGATTTCAAAATGGGTGGTTGTAAGTGTCAATGATTAGACACAGTTTCAGAAAAAAAATTCTCGGACTTCGTGAGTCACCCCAAGCCCTCCAATTTGACATCTAATGAGTGATAATAGTTGTGACCTCCTAGTACAAAAGGTAAATGGTCTCTTTGTAGACAATCCAATTACATCAATATAAAATTCTAACTATTATTCATCTCAATTTTTTTTTTTTGGGGCAAGGTAATCATTTCCAACAGAAAAGGTACAAAAAATATTGCCTCATAGATTTGTTTATGGTAAACCATTTGTTGGTTTGTTGCATGGATAGTCTGGTCAGGTATGTTGGATTTCTTTTATAGTGCTTGGGTTATGCCATATATTCTGTTTTGATGTTTGGAGCAAGGAAACTTGGGTGAGGAGTGCTGGATTTGTTTTAACTCTGCTAGCATGGTGCCTTAGTCTATTTTGATGTTCGCTCCTAGGATGAAACAGTGTTTACCCTAATGTGGTCATTTAGCTCGACATGTCAGTGACTGGTGCTTGAACCTTCAGTGCTGCAAGAAACTTGTTCATATTAGCTGAAACTTTATGTATTTTTATTTATTAATATTATTTATCAATTTCTATAATTATTTTGGAGTTTATTACATATCATAGTATCTTGTCTATGTACCTTCTATGGAGCTCATATTATTACAATATTTTTTGCATTAGATTTCTCTTTATTAATGATATCTTAGAAATTATATTTGTTCTTCTATAATTCACTATCATTTGGCTATGTTGCCCTATAGGCAATTATTGGGTTGTATGTCAGACCACCAATATTGTGTTGGCATCCATGTAATATTGATGATAAAGAATGGGTTGGTGCGAAAGAGACAAAATGGTTAATATCCACCATCCATCGATGGGAATGAGTCAGAGTCGTTCTGTCCAATCTTTGATGCGCAGGTTAGTTTCCATGTACCATTGATAATAAAGAATGGTTTGGAGGGAGAGGGGTAACATTCTATTGGAACTATATTTAATATTCACATTCCACTATTGGGAATGTATCAAGGCTGCTCCCATAGAACACTATACATTATAAACGATTGGTGTGCACTATACATCATAAACGATTGATGTATCATTTACTATTTATAAATATCAACCAGATGCTCCCCCTTGATATGCACCATGATAAAAATATCCATGCAGTTCATCAAAAGAATAACCGGTACTTATATGGGACTCACCCCTCCCCAGAAGGAACGACTTTTTCTTCATCTTTAAGAATTCAGACCATATCTATAACTCAAAATGAGGGACAATTTATTAATGATTACCATATATCAGTGCCACACTGATATTTTTCAACCATGATTTACTAGTTCTATACATAAATAATTATATAATATGATTTTAAAAAGTTACGGGTCATTGAAATTCAGTGCTGTGATTCAGTCCACTTACAGATAACAAGGTAAAGGTAACAAATACTATTAATATGAAGCCAAAACAAGAACAGATGGCCCAATTGTTCAATAACTGCATTCTCAAAAAATTGTTAAATAAATGGATTTGAAAATATACTTACAATTATTCCATGAGCTCCTCTATAATAACTGCTGGTAATGGTCCTGAACCGCTCCTGTCCTGCAGTATCCCACTACTCACAAATACAAATTGATGCGTGAAAAGTTATTGTATGCTCATTAATAAATTCAGCATTGCAAAAACGAATCATGACACAAACTCAAGATATATGATAACATACAACCATCACAGCTGCTCCCTCTCAATCCTTGGCAAGATAAAAGAAACAACACAAAAAGGTCATGTTCATTAGTTAGCAAAAAAGTATCACTTTTAAAATATATATGGCACCTACTAGTGATAACAATAGGTCAAAGTAAAGGTCCATGATGCACTCGTAAGAATGCAAAATAACACCATATTATCTATTGATAAAACAAGGATTATATATTCTAATTCGTTCAAAATAAAGTCACAGAATAAAGTGAAAAATATGCTGTTCTGCTTCCTTTTTCATTCTATCAAGGAAACTTAAGATATATAATAAAATAAAACCATCCCAGCTGCTCCCTCTCAATCCTTGCCATTTGGCAAGATAAAAGTTGAAAAGAAGAAACAACACAAAGAGGACATGTTCATTAGTTAGCAAAAAAGCATCACTTTTAAGATAGATATGGCACCTACTAGTGACAACGATAGGTCAAAGTAAGGGTCCATGATGCACTCGTAAGAATACAAAATAAGACCAGATTATCTATTGATAAAGCTAGGATTATATATTCTAATTCGTTCAAAATAAAGTGACAGAATAAAGTGAAAGATCTGCTGTTCTGCTGCCTTGTTCCTTCTGTCAAGGAAACTCCTTGCAAACCAACTTGTCTCAATTTGATCCATGCTGGTTCTCCCAATCAAACTTAATCTGAACCTTTGTCTTGAATGGAGAATAAACCAACTAGTTGAGTCCCATAAAATTTGGATTTATGCCAGTTTCAGAAATTAAAAGGGTGTGATTGGTATAAGGTTGCAACCTTAAACAATCAAATTAAGGCGCACCTTCAAATTGTCATAAATATAATTTTGGTGTCAAAAATTCTTAGGATGGTTTGAGAATTTATTTTCATCTCTAATAATAAAATCTTAAACTCCAAAAATGATTCAAATCAAGTAGATCTATAAACACTTAAAACTCTTGAAAATGGATGGTCTAGATAATGTGTTGCAAGATACACTATTTTTAGGACTCAAAAATCTTTTTTTTCTTTTCGTATTCATACATCTGGATGTCGAGATGATCAATTAGAGGGTTTATCAACATCAGAACAACCTTTTATGATGGATTTTTGAGGTGCACCCTAATTTCAGATTTTAAGGTTGCAACCTTATATAAACTCTTTCCATTAAGGAATGGCCACAGTTATGGTCAAAGTAGGACACCTATTAAACGACAAGGAGAAGAATCAACCACAATGCACTAATGCATAAATTAAAAATGAACTGAAAAAGAAGACCAACCTAGTCCACAACCAAACCATCTTCTCTATTCCAACATAGAACGATGATCTCCTCTAACCTACACAACAAATGACTAAATTTCACAAACTCAACAGTCCTTAGAACCCCTATAACGTGAGGATACTATACTACCCTAACTACCATCCACATGAAATGATTCACGACCATAGAATTAAGCCCAGATGCCAATCCCATTAGACGAGAAAAAAGTTCTGAGTGACTCCTTACGACCCGACTTGCCTCAATGCAAAACCTTACGTTACAATGCGTCCCAATCGTCAACCTAATTCCATTAATTGATCTCTAGATCATCATCATCATCATCATAGCCTTTCCCCACTTAATTGGGGTTGGCTACTTTCATGATAAGTTTTAGCAAGATTTTATTTTGGCTGCCTACCTAACACAACCACGCCTTTACCGGAGCATGGGACAGGCTAGGGAAAGTTTAAGGTGAAGACCCCTCTTAGACTTCTTAGGAAAAAAAAAAGCTCCTTCTAAATAATCACATTAATTACAAATTAGAAACATGCAATATTTCAATTAATATATTTGAAGCTTAAGTGTCATAATTTTTAAAATTTATCATAACTTATTTTTCTTCTTAATAACCGCATTATCTTTTTTCTTCTTAATAACTACATCATAAACTGGACCAGCTGGTCTGACCAAGACCTAGGCTGGAATTGGTCTAGTCTAATCATTGACCAACAATTGGTCAAAACCAGTCTAAAACCGGATTGATCAAATCATACAAGTTTTTTACCAGCTTCGTACATTCTTATATTTTCCATACCTTTTTGACTAGTGAGTTGGCCAGTCCGACTGGTTTGGACAGGGCCAGTGCCCTCAATGATTCAATGACCAGTCCAGTCTTGATAGCCTTGGTTCAAACATTTTACTACCACCGAACGTTTTTACTGAAAATATAGCTTTTATTACAAGCGCGCTTCCAAAAAGTTAACCATCTCTCTCATTTGTGTAATCTATGAGAATGGGCCCATTTTTCCATCTCTATAAGTTTAACATCCATAACGAATTTACATTTGAAATGGGAATGGTAACTAGCACTTACTACACCATTTCTATTAACCTCAATCCGACTCTAAGGAGACAAACTAAACGAGCTCTGACATAACTAAATCATCCCACTTATATCTAGGAGTGAAGCAAGTTCCCGATGGATGAAGATTCATTAATATATTTCCTACCCTACAATTTCATAACCCCTTTCACTCATACTGGTTTTATTTCCCCTCGTCCAAATATTATTAAATTGACCTTGGAGCCACAACCAATCCATGATACAATCTATCAGCCCCTCCCAAAATCCTTCTTATAAGGGCTTAGATAAGAAAAATATTTGTTCTCCAGTGAAAAGAACCACAAAGACAAGATAAACTATGAAGGAAAAAATATTAAATATAAATGTTGCTTTAGGCCACTCTCTGTATGTGTGTGCTAATGAGATTATAGTTGTACTTTTCATGCTTCTAATCCATTCTAAGGCAATGAATTTGTATAGTCGAACTACTCTAAAATATATGCATCTTTGTACATGACACACACACAGATGTAAGTGTACATCCCTAACCAAAATGAGAACAATAAAATGAACCTATGCATGTGTGTACGTAAAACAATTGAATAGACTCACAATTTGTAGCTTAACAGTCTTGCCATCCAGCTCCACTGTTCTGATTTTCTGTGATAACTCCCTTAATATTAGAAACTTGAAACCAATGCTAAAATATTTAACAAATAATATGCGGCAACAAAGAAAAATGGTAGCTTTCCTCAAAGTTACAGACAATATAAAACCTCAAACTAGACATTTAGTACCAAAATATATAATCAAAAAAACTGAATAAAAGAACAAAATGGGCACTCACAAAATCCACTCCAATGGTACTAATGTAGCTGTCCACATAAGAATCATCCTGAAAATTGTTAAACTCACTCTCATTAATAAAACCCAATATCCGTGTTCCCTCTCTCTCTCAATGAAAAAAATATTCAAAATATTATCATTTACCGCAAAACGAAGTAGAAGGCATGATTTTCCAACAGCAGAGTCACCAATCAACAGGAGCTTGAACAGATAATCACTGCAAACAATGGAAAATCATCGATTAATACATTTAACTTCAAACTAGAAAAGAAAAGAGTGGAAAAAGAATAATGGACATCATTACTATTCATTGCTCATTTTTCTGGAAAAATGGGGGTTCTTTCCTTCTTTTCCCTGTAGAAATCTGTTGAGGAAGCCTGGTGTTGTTGTATAGTGGGGAAAAGGATCCCCACCATTAAAAGTATTAAAGGAACTATTGCCACTCAAATGCGTGTCCTATTGCTAAAATGGACTGGTCAGTGAAGTTCATTAACCCTGTTTTTCCTCAGAATATCGAGACTGTGCCTAGATTTAAGGACGAAGGACTACAAAAAAAGTCCACCTCTAAATTTTATTAATAAAAAATTCTTACGATGGCCAGAGGATCTATTCTTACCTCTGATGGGACCATTTTAAACTTTAAAAATGGATCAAAACAAATAAATTGCATAAAAATCTTGAACATGGACCATTTAAATAATGTGTTGTAAAATACAATTTGTCGATATAAAATATCTTTATCAAGGAAATCGATCCGGATCAATGATCTAGTCAAGAGAATTGATCAATAAAAATAAACTAATTAAAAATAAAAATAAAAATTTGAAAAAACTTTAGATAATAAAAAAATAAGAAGTCCGGTTCTATGATAGAACTGATTGGTTCTTTAGCAAAACTAACTAATTCCAAGGGAAACTGGCCGATTCTCTGTTCCGATCGAGATTTGGATCCGTTCCCACTAATTTCCTATCGAGATCATATGATCATTTTTTCAAACACCAATTTGGAGCTCAAAAAAACTTCCATATCAAATCAATTTATTGTATATAAAAATGTATGGTCCAAAGTACAATTGAAATTCCAATAAATTTGAATAAGTTGTGGGGATCTCAATTCCTTTTCACCATCAATATGGCAAAAGTATAAAATTATACCATCTTCTACAAGGAGCAGTCTTGATTGTCGGATAGGGTGTTCCAATGGCCACGCTCGCAAACAAAAAAAAAATATTTGAACCTTACGTATCTAAAATTGTCAGATTTCACATTTAATGGTCTTTAAAGACTGGGCCTCCTTTGTACAAAAAAAATAGTGCTGTGGTATATGATCTCATATATTTTTTGGGTCGTGAGAAAATGTTATATTTATTGTCCGATATCTTAAACATTATTTTTCTAGTCAGCGGACCACAATTTTTAGTGATATGGCAAAAGCACACTATAATTTACCTTCAATTATATGCATTTATTATTTGAGAATGTCACTCTCGAGTCAAGATCAAATGAAAAAGGATAGATAATGGAGTTCAACGATAAATTGGACTTTGCAATATTATTTTATTGGTAGTTCATCAGTGATATTTAATGTGCAAGAAATCAGAAGAAACAAAGTAGGTGTTCCCATGAGTCGACATTGTTTATTTAGATCCTTAGGTCCAACATCTAGTGACTGAAGCTCTCAAATTATGTTTATCTCAGTAGTTACAGATTCGGAGCTCAAAAAGTACTCAAAATCAAATTTTCTCCATTTCAACATAGATCATATACAAGGATCTTTTGGTTCAGAGTGATTTTTTAATTAAAAATATATATATATATAAGGTGAGACCCTAAAGGCGTGCCTCAAAAATTCATTTTGATGTTCAAAACTACTCAAATTGATCAACTCGACATCAAGATGTATAGATATAAGAAAATTTTGATTTCAAATCTCGAAAATAGTGCATCTAGTAATGCATTTTTTAGACCGTTGATTTTCAAGTGTTCATCAATTGGTTCGATATGCACTATTTTTTAAGCTTTAAATTTTATAGTTAAAGATGAAAATTAATTTTCAGGCCATCAAAAAGATTTTTAATAGTGAAACATCTTTTGACACTATTTAAAGGTGCACCTTACTTTGATTGTTTAGGGCCTAAGCCTTATACAGACCACACCCTTTAATTAATATCCGATGCCTCAAGCATGATTTGATGTTTTAAAAAGGTTTTAAGGCAAATATTTGATTGCACTTGCTATCTATGATGGGTGAAAAAAAAGAAAAAAAAAAGATCTTCTTAATCCGAGTTGCATTAATGATATAATTTTGAGATAATATCCACTTCTTACTGGTAGAAATCAGGATTTCAAACAAATTCTATAACACAAATATCTTAAAACATAAGACCAAAAACATAATAATGTTTGTTCGAATCTTGGCCACAAGCAATTGACAATGCAAAGTGCAACTGAACATGCTTGCTTTGTGAATTTATAGTGAAAATTATAGTTCTTCACGATGAGAGATATTTTCTCGCACGGTCCGGTGCATTCGCAGCCCTAGTTAGATCCAACATATGCTGCTATTAACAAGGGCGCAGTTTGTATAGAGCTGAGGCTCTAAAAAATCAAAATAAAGCGCACTTTCAAATAGTATCGCGAAAGGTTGTTTCAATACTGAAAATCTTTATGATATCTTTAAAATATATTTTTATATTTAATTATAAAATTTAAAGCTTCAAAAATAATGTAGATCGAACAAATCTATAAAAACTTGAAAATTTTGAAAATTGACAATCTAAAAATACATTACAAGATGCACTATTTGTAAAACTTAAATCTATTTTATTCTATGTTCATGCATCTTGATATCGAGATGATCAATTTGAGCATCAAAACAACCTCTTGTAGTGAAATTTTTGACGTGAGCTCTAATTTGATTTTTAGAACCTCAGCTCTATAAAAACGTTTTTCCAGTGACAAATGCTTCACCTCCAAAACATGCACCACTTGTGTGTGGTACATTTTTCTCTTAATTTAAATGGATTTTTCACCGAAGTTTGTTAACGTGGTGGCAATTACGAAATTTTTCCTATGGATATGGATATTTGGGGAGTCACGTATGAAATTCTAAAGGAAAGGTGTCAAGCTGGCAAAGTTAGTAGATAAATTATACCTCCATCTTGGTTCATCTTTAAGCAAAAATAATAATGAGAGAGAAAGTGTTTACTAAGCATGCATTTTAATTAATTTAATCACGAATTGTAAATTTTTGGGGAAAAAAAAAAAATTTGGAAAAAAAAAACAATATATATTCCCCTAACACGCTTCCGTTTGGCGAGCCCAGATATTGGACTTCCTTTTTTCTCTGATTTCTTCTGATATGGTAAGGACAAAATAAGAAAATATTGTAATATAAACTCTATATTCCTTTCATTCTTTCATTATTAATTAAATATGTAGGCGCCTAAATCCCAACTGACTTACCCAAAAGAAGAAAAAAAAATCACTTAATTTTTAGCAAAATTTTGAGACATGTTACACTTTCCTACAACCCTCAGAAAAAAAAACTAAAGTTTGTATATTATCCTTTTTTTTTTTCTTTTGAATAAAACCGAAGCGTGTATTTTTTTTTCTCTTGAATGCTACACATATTTTCCTATTCATTGTATAGACCAGCTAAGTTGCATGTGTGTGCGTTGGAGCTTTAATTTGTCAAATGCAAAACAAAAAACAATAGATATTATTGTTAAATCAATTCACATTATTTAATTTTACATCTTCAATTTTTATGTTTAAATTTATTTCTTAAAGTCGAATCATTACCTATTTTATAGAGGAAGAGATATCTGTTTATTTTTTAAAATTTTAATTTCAGTAATAGTTCCTTTATTTATTTATATTAAAAATATTCCTTTATTTATTTACCCAAAAAAAAGGAGTTTCTATATGCAACTTATAATGGAGGATTTTTTAAAATGTAGATTATATTTAATCTACACTAAACATTGATATATTAAATATAATGTAGATTATAATGTGATTAAATATAATGTAGATTATATTTTATATTTTATATTTTTTAAAATGTAGATTAAATATAAAATGTTCAGTGTAGATCTAATTTTATGCAAAGATAAACATGAAACATTTTAGCAAACTCTCAACACATTTTATATTTAATCTACACTAAACATTGATATATTGTTTTCGTTTTTCTTTAATTTAAAGTCATGGGGAAGATATCTCTTAAATTCCCAAATCCATTTGCAAAACTAAACACTCATAATTTTGGTATTTTCAAATAATTTTTCTGATGAATTACTTAAGTAAAATGAAACTTATAAGTCATACATTTTAATCTTGAAAGGGATGACTAAACCACCTTAATGTTCTTTTGAGGTGGTCAAAATAATCAATGATGTATTTACCTAAGATTTGGAGAGTTTATGAAGTGGTTGGAATTGGAGATAGAAATAAATTTACATAATGTGCTTATATATAGAGAGAGGACATTGAACATTTGAAGATAGATGATCTAGGAATTCTAAATCTTGGAATTCTAAATCTAGGAATTCTAAACTTCCCGTCTCGTGGAGAGATTTTAATAAAAGAGGAGGGAAGAAAGAGTAAAAACTTCAAAATTTACACTCCAATGTTTCTCTATTGTTACTATAAATAAATAGATGAATCAATAGACAGATTAATGTGGCTTAAGGGGAGGATGTTTACATGTTCTTTGGCATTTGTGTGTGGAATAAGGAGAGAAGTAATCATATGATACATATATGGGGCCCTGATGCATGTATACCTTATAGGTAGTGGATGCATGAGTCCTGCTTAAATTTTCATGGATCTAGGGTTTTTTTGATCACTGTAAATGTTTCATCCAATGGTTTAAAAAACGGATCGGTGACTCGGATCGGGCACCAAAAAAACCGATTTGGATCGGCGAATCGGCGATCCGAATCGAGAATCGGGTGAATCGGTCAGAATAAAGCTTAAAAAAATCCGAAAAAATTATTAAAATTCATTATAAATATTGATTTTTAGGAATTCAATAAGAAATGAGGGTACTCCATTAAGAATTTTTATGTTTTTGAATGAATATGCGAATATTGATATGTTCTTTTCCTGCATGAACAGCCATTCAGCATTTAATTTACATCACACAAAAGCATAAACATAGAATTATCATGGAATAAGTATATCAACATACATGGACTACAATAAAACATACAATTAGTAACATATGATTTAAAAATAAAACGATAGACGACGTTATTGTTCTTCTTGGTCACGTTGGTCCCATTGATTGAATTCGTTTAACAATTCATTGATTCGATCTAAAAACGAATCATCGATATTAGCAGGCGTCTGACTATTCCCAAATCCCTGAGTGTTAGTGTTTTGTTGTGTTCTCAATCTAAAATCCCCGAAACTTGTCTATCTTTCATGCTCACCTGCACTGTCGTGCTCATCCCTACACTGTTACTGTTGGGACTCGATATGTGAATAATATGGTTGGGATAGGGTGGCCTCAGAATCATCATCTCTCTCATTTTCTCTTTGAATAATATGGAATTAAAAAAAAAAAAACAAATTTTCAAAAAAATCGATCATGGATTAAAAAAAAAAAATCACAAATTTTCAAAAAATTCTATCATGGATTACAAAAAAAAATTCGGTCGTGGATTAAAAAAAAAAAAGTACAAATTTTCAAAAAATTCTATCATGGATTACAAAAAAAAATTCGATCATGGATTAAAAAAAAAAATCACAAATTTTCAAAAAATTCAATCATGGATTATAAAAAATTTGATCATGGATTACAAAAAATTCGATCATGGATTACATAAAATTCGATCATGGATTACATAAAATTCGATCATGGATTACAAAAAAAAAAAACATTAAAAAACAAAAGATTCCATCGTGGATTACAAAAAAGAAAAAACAATTCGATCATGGATTACAAAAAATTCAATCATAGATTACAAAAAATTCGATCACGGGTTACAAAAACAAAAAAAAACAAAAAATTCGATCATGGATTACAAGAAAAAAAACAAACATTTCGATCATGGATTACAAAAATTTCGATCATGGATTACAAAAAATTCTATCATGGATTACAAAAAATTCGATCATGGATTACATAAAATTCGATCATGGATTACATAAAATTCGATCATGGATTAC